TTAATTTTCCAGTGAAACCACATTGACATCTATTACCACTCTGGATCATTAGGATAAATAAGTCTCTTGATTTTTAAACACAAATGAAGATAGTTCTTTCTGGTTTTCTCTCTCTCCCTTTTTAAAAATGTTACTTCCTCTGGTATAGCGTTTTGCTAACCTCAGCGAGATTGTTTCCTGGTTTTCAGGTAACATTCAGTTTCACTAAAGAAACACATTGTAAAGTCTGCAATATTTTTCTAACTTACTTTTTGTCACGTGTCTTTTAAGACTCATCTGTATGACCCGAATCTGTACAGTGTTGTCACTTTTACATTTCCCACGTATTTTGGGGAGATTTTCCTGGCCCCCTACTCAATGCTCTTGGTCTGACAATTTCCCTTCCTCCCTCCTTCTTTCCTTTCTGTCTTGATTTCCTTTCCTTTCTTTCTGTGCATCCCGCTCCCCACCCCTCCCTCTCCTCTGTGCTATTCCTTTTCCCTCCACCCTTCCACCCACTATCATTTTCCCAATTTCTTGGCTGTAATGACAGCACTTGGTCATTGATGTTACCTTTCCTTTCGCATGTTGTCAGCTGTGTCATGAGATAGGAAAGCCCTTCGTTGTTCTACGTTTCACGTAGTCCTGCGTCCCTGGGCAGAGCCCTTTAGAACCTGTTTCTGATTATGAGGACTTTATGACAGCACATATTCCAAGCACCTAAAACATACCAAGTAGTTATTCAATGGTACACATTTTTCCTTTATGATGCTTCTCATTTGCTTTTTTGTTTTGTTTTGTATAAATCTCCTGTTTTGTTCCCTTCAGACTTCTCATATGCTGATATTAATACAAAATAAAGTGTTTTGAAATTAACTTAATATTTTTAACCTTTAGTACCTTTTCAGAGGCCTATTTCTGGCTCTAAGATTGCCACATTTTCACCTTTAACTCTTCAAATCTAAAGAGATAGCTTGGATAAATTTGCAGCTTCTAAATTTATAAACTGACATATTTTATAGTCTCGTTAGAGTGGATGATTGTCAGATCAGTAATCAATGAATAGTAACAAATGGTGCAGAACACTGAACATGTCATGTGCTGCTCTTTTCCTTCTCTGTGCCTACAGTGTATTTATCAGGAAACTCATCAGGGCTTTCTTGTGTACACTGTCTGTCACTTCCACCGGAGGTCACTTTATTATAGAACTACACTCAATCTATTTAATGCAAAATAAACACATTCAACTAAGAATACTAGTAGGCACATTAATTTGTTTCAAATTTCCTTACTTAGCAACATGCATATTTTATATGAAAAAATGAGTGTAAATAAGTCATAAGAAATTTTGATACATATTTTATTCTACATATATGAATTTTGAGTTTCCATAAAACAAATTATGTGGAGTGAAATAAGAAATATTAAAAATTACATTACACAGAAATTTTGATAGTTCTTTCTTCTTTATTTTACTCATGCTATATTATATTATTACTACTTATTTTCATACCTTCTAATCTCTTTGATAATTTGTACAAATTATTTGATGAGTTTTGGTATTTACAATTCCTCCAAATAGAAATATTGGAAAAAGTAAAGAAAACCACCCAAACTTGAAAGAGAAGCATAAGCAAAGTATGTTCACATGCAGGATAGGACACATAATGAAAACAAAAATGAAAATTAATCAAAAATAAAAATCACTAAGTTGTGAAAAAAATTATCAAGCAAAACAAGAGGAAATTATTTGAGGGCATTAAATATAAAATGGTATATCTGAACCACGATTTGTAACACACAATTTATAACTAAATGTATATGCATAGGTAAAAAGCATACATGTGCACATATAATTCATGCATCTTCAATATTTTCTAACGGAAAAACACTGAGATTATGCAGCCTACATTTCAAAATAGATTTTTCCTCAATCATCATTATTTATTTGTCTTATCTTAAATTTAGTATACTTTTCAATTATGAATCCTCTATGGCTTACTTTAGAATGCACACCCAAAGGAGTAGTTCACAGTCATAACTTTGCTTGAAAAAGTTTCTAGAGTTAACTCTTGAGGACATGACCAGGAAGTACATGACCACATCTTTTGCACAGATTTTTGCTAAAGAAAAAATTAACCCCTTCATCTCTGCTTTTGAAGGTTTATTTCCTTCTCCTTATGTTTTATGGACTCAAAAAAGTGAATGAAAATATATGTTCTCCCACTGTTATTTGTGGTGAATATATAGCCAAGCCAATTCCCACAAATTTATTTTAGATCTATTTACTTTATTTAGAATATTATGCATTTGTTAATTGGCATCAGTAACAGTACTTGAGAATATTTACTATCTTTCATGTATTTTTTGGAAATATTTTATTCTAGCTGTAAGACCAGAAAAAATTTTGGTACAATCCCACCTCTAATATGTACTCACGATGCAATCGTGGGCAAATTGCTTAAATTCTCCGACTTTATTTTCCTAACCTGTAAAATGAGTACAATAATATCAATGTCACAGAGCAGTTGCAAGAATTAAATGAGAGGTTATGCTCAGTAAATACTCGTTCCCTTTTCCTAACTTTGTTCACTCGGTTTTAATGCGGTGATGCAACCTAAAAGATGAGAATGGCACACTGGAAATAAAATAAATGGAATATTTTGAGCCTCACACTGTAATTATGTAAGTAAATGGGAAAAGTGCAGAGAGGATATTGATGTCTTGCTTTTTCTTCAGCAGAGCTGCATTTAACGTAAAGGGGAGTCATTTTATTGAATAATAAAAGCCTGACAATCACAGTGATTGGCTGACGGCCATTACTGCAGTGTAATTCTAAACAGCTTGTTTTTCAAAGTTCTTCTTGAATAAATCTTTAAAATGCAAGCCTTGCCCAGCTTGGTTGCAAGGTTCAAAACTTGTTTTTGAAGTGAAGTTTCCTACATTTGAGTACTGCTGTGATATAAGCGATGGAAAAAATATGCATTAAAATAGTATATTCTTATAAAATAATTAAAATCAGATATTTTTTGACATGGAAGGAAAAATTTGAAAAATTTAGCAAACTAATGTTTAAATGGTAAACAAGATTAATTCGTGACTTAGAGAAGAAAAGACTACACGTGTGAAAGAAAAAAAAGTGAAGCCCAAAGTGTTTTACCGTGAAAAGCACAACATTTGATCTGTATTATCCGGCTTAAACCCGGGTGATTTCTGAACAGAACTCAACAAGGCTTCGAAGTTACCAAATCCACTTTGACGCATTCATTTTTCCCAGGCAGTATTTCTAATCAATCCTCACTCAGTGGGCGTAGAGCTGGCAACTCACCAAAATAAATATTTAATGATATTTTAATGGTTACTTTAAATCTCTTTTATTTAAGTTGTGGATTAATACTTTATTTGGTCAATGAATTCTGAACATAATGTTTGAGAAACGTATTTGCTATCGAAGCTCTCTGCAATGGATGTGTATTTCATTTTCAGAATTGTCCAGGTTAGACCATCTCTGATGGAGGCATTTTATCTTAAACGTCAACATCGGAAGTATTGAGATAAAGATCAGAGGCAGCAATCTGTGAACTGCAGCCCTGTGTTAATTGCTCATGCTCAAACATAGAGACGCCAACTAATTGCACACAACCCAGATTCAAAGCAGCACAGGGAAACGGTCTTGACGTTAGTATTGCGCAAAACTGAAGAGATACAGATGTGTTCCAGCGCCCAAAAAGCTGATTCTTGATCAGGCAGCAAGAGAAGAATCTCAGCGCATCCAGCGATTGGCTGATGGAATCTTTGTTCAGGCGCCAGGCATCCTAAACCAGACGCGAGGCGGAGGAATGCCTCTCTCACCCTCACCTTCCCAGTTCCCGGCGCAGCCACCTGGGCTCCCGTGGGCTGCGCCGCCGCCTCACTCCTGGTGCACGTCTCCCCCTCTCGACCGTCAAGTGCTCTCTCCCTCTCCGAAAGCACTTACACAATGGACTCACTTGTTTCCCTGGCGCCTCTCCTTTGACTTCCAGCCCCAGCCCACAACTTGAGCGAGAGTCAGGCAGGCGCCTCTCCAGCCATGGAGCACGGACCCGCGGAGCCTTCCAGACGGGCTTGGAAGCACACGCGCACACGCAGACACAACAAACAATGCCTGGCCCACGAACGAATACATTAACGCCCCCCACGCCCCCACCCATGGCTCTGCAACCCGCAGAAAGCAAGCCGGGACGGGGTTTCCGAAAGGAGGGCCGTTTCGTCTTTCAAACGGCAAACATTCCTCCCTAATGACGGCGAAAGAGCTGCTGCGCGTTCTGATGGCAATAAAGATTGACGGTGGCTTTGCCCGTGACAACGCCCCCAGGATCGCGCAGAGCCAGGCTCCCCGGGAACCGCCAGGGGGAAGCGCAGGTGTAAGGGGAGGGAAGAGGGGAGGAAGGGAGGGAGGGATGAGAACTGGGGAATCAGGGGAAAAAAAGAAAATGGATGAGTTAAATCGGGCTTTCATAGTGAAACTTCGGGAGAGAAAGGGATGGGCTCTCTCCCCAGGTAACTCCCCGGAGGGCGAAAGCAGATGACTACCTAGCGAGTGGCGAGCAGCAGCAACAACTTGCAGGTGAGCAGCAAGTTGCCGACCTCCTCCCAGGCGCCAGATCAGCATCCCCCTCGCGGCCCGGGACCGGCGCGCCCTCCCCTCGGAGGCGGTGCCGCTGGCGGCAGCAGCGCAGCAGGGGGAGCGGCGGCGGCGGCAGCGCGCCCGGCCCGGCCCCGCGCGGCGCCCCCTCCGCCGGCGCCCTGCCCGTCTTGCGTGTGCGTGTGCGTGTGCTCAGCCCCAGCGTGAGCGGCACCTGCTCGCGCGGCTCACAGCGGAGGCAGCGTCGCCGCGAGCTGCGGGCCGCCGGTGCCGGGCTCCCGCCGCCGCCTCGCCAGCCGGAGCGGGGCTCCGTGGGCTCCCCTCGCCGCGTCGGTCCGTCCCCGCCGCCTGCGAGTCCGCCGGGCTGCGAGTCACGTGTCAGTGCCCGAGGCAGAGCCGGAGAGAAAAACCGCGCTCCCTTCCTTCTTGCACCGCCATACTGTATTTTATCCTAAATCTCATTTTTATTCCAACATTTTACTCCCGCTCGGTGAGTACCTTCTCAGTGGCATTCTTGTCCTATTCTTTTTTATTTTTGGTCCTTTTTTTTTGTTTTTGTTTTTTTTCTTCTTTTTATTTTTTTCCACTTCTTTGATTATTGTTTCTATTTGGGAAAGCTGGAGGAGCATGGTTTGGAGCCTTTTCCGGAATCCAAGTTTTTCTAGCATGCGATGGTTCTGTAGCCCGGGCGCTGTGTCCGGGAGTCCGCGGCGGCCGTGCCCGCCGGGAGCGACTCCTGAGTCCAGCGGAATATGCAACTGGTTTTATGGAAAAAGCGATGTGAAGTATGGTGCCTCTTTTTTCCCTTTGTAGAAATAAAAAGCATGTTTCTAACTCTTTTTTTTTGGCATACTCTTTTTCTTATAAGATTTTTGTAGAGGTGGGATTTCACGGCAGTGCTTACAAGTTTGTGGCTTTGCAATACTGGTACAAACCGCTGAGCAAAGACATGAATTTTCTAATTTTTTTTTGGTGCCCTTTTTGGATGCCGGTGAGAACAAATTCGTTTTTTTCCCATCTGTTTTTGATACCCGTTGATAACATGAAACTTTTCTTGCAGCTGGTTCCTGGGATGATTTTTAAGCAAAATACTTTTTTTCCTCCTTTAAATTAACTATGACTTTTGCACATTTGACTTTTTTTAAAAAAAAAAACCGAGATAATTTTATGATAGATATCCTGATATCTATATCTATATTATCCCTTCTTCCTCTTCCCTCCTCTCCCTGTAAATCAATTTTCAAATGATGGCAGTGGAAGGTTTTTCTGGAAAAAAAAAAATGAAGTGCGGTTTGGTTTCCTTGTCAACGGAGGATGAAGTGCACAGCTGAGCAGCTCGCAGAGAGCAGGTACATGGTCCCCTTGGAGGCGTTTCCCGGGTTTGCAATGGCAACACTGGTCCTGGCAGAGAAATCTGTGTGTATGTGTGTGCGCGCGTGTGTGTGTGTGTGCGCGCGCGCGCCTCCGGGCAGGGTCCGAGCCCGCGGTGGGGAAGCCGTGCCGGGAGCTAGGGAAGCCCGAGTGTGTCCCGGCCTCGGGGTCGTGTTTGGATGCGCGCACGACGCCGTCCCTCCCTCGCTGCGCCCAGGTCGGCTCGGCGGCCGCCGGCGGGCCCTGTAAGTTCTCCGAGGGCCACTTGCAGAGCAGGAGGGGCGAGGGCCGAGGAGGCGGCCGGCCGGCGGGCGGGAGACGGGGCAGCATCCTCCGGAGGGGCTGGCTGCTGGCCACGCGGCCGGGAGCTCGAGACCTTTCCAGATCCCCGAGGATGGCAACAGCTCCCGCGCGCTCAACTCCTGCTCCTCCTCTTGGCCAGGAGTAAACAACGCAGTAGGTCTTTCCCGGCCCGCTTGGCTTGTTGCGAAGGATTTTGCTTTCTTAATGGTGCTGCCTTTGGATCTTTTCCTTCTGTGTTGTGTTGCTTTGATTTTAAAGCGCTGGCTGGCATCTGCCAGGACATGGGGAAATGGTTACTTCCTAAGACGGTCAGTTGGGTTTAATATTGAGGACGAAACTGTTAGTTTGCGTTGAGACTACACCCCTAAGATACAAAATGGGCTTTTATCTGAGTTTTAAAGAGACAGCGTTTTCCCTCGTTTTAACCACCTGATGGTAGTTCCGTAGATTTTCCCCAGAACGGGGCACAGGACGAGGTAGGCTTGGTGATGGTGGTGATTGATTTCGCTGTGGTGGTAGCGTTACAGTTCTCAGTGTTGAAGGTCTTCTGTGGAATTTTGTCATTGTCCTGTTGCATATTTCCAGTATAATCTAGCATTACTTTTTGGAGCTGTACCAGTTGGTAATAAAAAGCCTTTTCTGTGCTTAACACAGTGACAGAATCTGCTGGAAAACTTGCTGTCCCAATAAATTTCATGTCATGCTTTAAACCTTAAAATCTGGAGGGTGACTATTATTTAAATGATTTGATTTTGAAGCTTTGATATTCTTTCTTTTTTTCCTTAAATGAAGAGTTCAGCCTTGATTTTGTCATATGTATGTATATAATTTGGATTCTGTTAAAATAGATATAAAGCAAATGAAATAACTTTTTACCTCTCTGATTAAGTTTTCTTCTAGGTTATCTACAGATATGAAAACTAATTCCAGCATACAGAAGGGCCCATGACCAATAGGTTAATAATATACAGTGTGGCCTTTTCAGGCAAATATTTCTCTAACTCTGTAACCTCAGTTTGTGGAATGAAAAGTTTTGTGCCTGTATTTCTTTACTTTTTGTGGTGAAAGAATTGGGAGTGCAAATGATTATCTGTAGAAGATTAAAATTTATTGTAATATCTAGAAAGGTATATATTTTTTAAATAACAGTGAACTTTCTCATTTTAAAGGTCTTTGCAAGTTGCAGTGTGAATTTTTTTGTTCTCAGGGTAGCTTTTCTCTGTTAAGAAAGTCCTGTTGCATATATATAAGGAAGACAGCATGTCCTGTCTGTGGACTTGAAGATTTCATATCTTGAGGGGCATACTTCTAAGATTTGACACAAATATAATATGACTGAGCTTTAAATTTTGTTTTTTGTGTGTGTAGTGACCACATTACTAAAATGTAGTTTTTCATTATGGGTTTAAACAGCTACCAAAAACATTAAAAAAGCCACTTGCGACATTCTGTTTTTTATCATAATATATATAAGTAGAAATGCTCATTTATTTAAAATGCAAGATGATGCATGTATGTTTCTTTGCAGGTCGTATGCACTGTAAGGCATTTAGGTCTTTTAAAAGAGAGAGACAGAGTGAGTGAGAAAGAAAAAACTTGAGAAATCAAACCAGAATTTTCAGAGGACCAGTTGCTGCCCTAAGGGGGGGGGGGGGGAGGAGTAGCTGTGTCTTAAGATGGGGTAAAGGGGGAGCTGAACTCTATGATGTTTCTAAATGAGACTGAAACCATAAGGAGGCAGACGACGGTGTTCATAGGATTTTAACGTGGGAACAGACATGCAGTTGTGCTTTGAATTCTGTAAATAAGGATCATGCTAAGAACCTTTAGTCATCTTAGGTTTTCATTTAGTTGGTGTTCCTTGTTCACTATCTTATATGCTTATGTTAAATTTCAATCTACTACATTCAGACTTTTGAAGTTTTCTCCTCCATGAGTCATATTAGGAATTTGCAACTCTTTAAACTGGTCACCTAGTCTGAGTTTTTTGGTTTAAGTCTTCGCATGTGGTCTCCTAGAGTTAGCACCGCCTACTGGTTTCTCGTGGAAAAATAGTACTATTCTTTCATTTAGCAAGCAGCCCACTCAGATTCTGATCAACTTAATCATGTAAATTATTTTCAACTGCTTACTGAGAGGAAAAAAATTACTTTTCAGGGAAAGAGGTTTTGGGAGGTGAAGGTGGGGGGTAAGGGAAAGAAGACAAATTAAATTCACTGTTGCACCGCCAGCTGACCTTAAGTATTTTATTATCTGAATTGCAACAAAGAAATTGTCACAAACTTAAAACAGCCTGTTAAATTTCCTAGAACTTTTCTATGGGATGCCAAAATTTGTACATTTTCAAGAATCCTGGATTACTGAATTAATTTTACAGTTTCTTCCCGAGTCTTGAACATTGTAGAGAAAGAAGGCTGTAGTTGGAGTTCTGTCTTGACTGTGTGGTCTGCCCAAGTATTCTAAAAGAAGAGTTTCATCATTAAAAATAAGCATTTAATTACTTGTTATATGTATTCTTACATGGTTATAAGCTAGCAAGTAGCTCACTGATTTTTTTCCTAGTATGCACGAAGCAGCCACACTGTCGTGGTGTTATATATAAAGGGGAAAAGTTTCAAACACATTTAAAAGACACTCTTCTATATTCTTAAGTACAAAAGATATATTGCCTTTTTAAAAAGAGATAGTTTATTTTCTCTAATTTTTATGAAAGGCTAGTGGTTTAAAGAGCTACTATATTTATCCAAACAAACGATGCCTTTAGAATATAAAAATAATGGAATAGGAAAATAACGCACATACATTTGATATGCCAAAAATTATATTTTTCTAGTTAAAAGAATCATGTGCTATATGGATAACTGTTTCTTACATAAAATAGTTACTTTTTAACGCAGCTAGTAAGAAGTGTGTGGAAAAGCTCCTGTTTCTGTTACATCCTGGAAAGCATTCCCCTTGAATGAGTGTGGCGTGCCTTGTTTACTGGGCACTGATACCGTAAGCAGTTAATGTTACAGTGCCTCAAATCAAATCAGACGCTACATTGCAAGTAGAGGAGAAGTTTGCATGAGAAAGGGAAATTGAAGAAACTATTTTAATTATAATTTAATTATTCTTTTCTCTGACTTTTGAAAACTCTTATTTATAATGATGATTAGCTGTGCTTTAAAAAATACAGTTTTGGGGCCAGCCCGGTGGCATAGTGGTTAAGTTTACATGCTCTGCCTCGGCGGCCCGGGGTTCACAGGTTTGGATTCTGGGCACCGACCTGGCACTGCTCATCCGGCCACGCTGCGGCAGCGTCCTACATAAAACAGAGGAAGATTGGCGCAGATGTTAGCTCAGTGACAGTCTTCCTCAAGCAAAAAGATAAAGATTGGCAACATATGTTAGCTCAGGGCCAACCTTCCTCACACACAAAAAATATAGTTATGTCTTCACTTCTTGTATCATACATCCATTAAGAAAATTCTATTTTGTGTAAAAAAAAAACTGAGGTAATGATGAATTTTATTCTACTGACTGTTTATAGAGCTCAGGAAAGTAAGTAAAAACTAATTAAAAAAATTACTCGCTGATATGAAGTTGTTATTTTCTTATTGTTTCATTATTATTATTATTTGCTACTTCTAGTGACTTGCACGAATGCATTTAAAATCCCATCTTCATAATTCAGGATGATTTCTTTAATAAATTTCTCTGCAGTAATTGACAGTTGCAGCATAAACTTTCACATTAGTGACAAGGGGAACATTTAGTTTTGCTATACCATGATTTTGAGGACAGTAATTATTAAAGAAAATTTAAGTAATAGGTAATTTCTGACTGTATCAAAAGCTAGTTACACATTTAGCAAGTGTCATATAAATATAATGTTTGTCGTCGCTCTTCTTTTTGTTATTAAATTTTGACCTGCAGAACACATATATCTCACCCAGCTATTGCCAACTTTTAGTAGTTTTGCTTATTCTCATAGCTTTTAGGTGTTCAAGAAAGTGTTAGGGAATGTTTTTTGTTGTTCATTTGTTTCATTAGACTTATGTTAAATAGCACATTTGTGGAAAGTTGATTTTGTGTTTTTCTAATTCTCTCCAAATTTTAAAGTTATTTGTTTTGCATTGTCTTGCTGTTTTTCTGGGGCAGAATCCTGGAAAACATGGAGGTGTTGATGTTTTTCCATGCATTCCTAGCTGGAGAAAGGGCAATGGGCGAACTTCGGTTAGTCTTTAGCATAAATGTCTTCTGAACTGTCCTTGGAGATTCCTCAGCTGGGGTCGAAGCTGCAAGATTTATTTCTGGGTCCTGTGTAAATCTAAATGGAGAGGAGAATTATAGGGGAGAACTTGGGGGCCCTGTCTTGCTTTTCTGAAAGATGCAGTAGAAAGCATCACTGAGCACCCTCATGCTAAAGGAGCACTAGAGAGTTGATTTGCATAAATATGTTTCCTAAAATTACATCGGACTCAGCAATTAATATTTTTTTTTTGCTTAGAATAATATACTTGAATATTTTGTCTGAACTTTAACAGTGGAAGTTAATTGCGTTCATACGTAATCCATGTGTTTAGAGAAATATTTATACACATTTTGATAGCCATATGCTAACTTATAATAGGAAGAACATATTTTTGAGTCAGTTTGGAAATTGTTAGCAGGTTGGAGTAGGGAAAGGATGTTTTCTCATTAAGTCAAGATGAGAGGAAAGAAAAGGAGGACTGACATCTCTTGATGTGCCTAGTGAATGCGCTTCCATTTGTTCCTCCTCTCTGTGAGTAGGTAGTGTCATCATTAATTTATGTTTTTGAGGAAACCGAGACTTGGGGAGATGTGTGACTTAATCAGGGCTCCACAGGTAGTCAAGGGTTGATGGACAGGAAGGTCTGAATTGGCATCTCACGTCCCTCCTTCTTTCTGTATAGCGGTCTTCCATTTGTGGAGAAGAAAATTTTTGTTTTGTTTCATTTAATATAAAACAACTATGTATTTATTTTTGGTACATTATTTAAAATGACTGTCGTTTGGCAAGTTTTCACTAGTGAGTGCTGTGGCCAGAAATAACAGAAAATGGCACCGTTTACACAGACTCTTACTGGTCCTGAAAGGGCCTTCAAGTAACCACGCCATCACACGTCTCTCCAGCACTGCAGGATTTT